CCCCCCCCCCGGCCCCCCAAAGAGCTGGGCCGGACCGAGTCTCTCCCCTGCTTTCCAGCAGGGAGCCTCTCTTCCTCCCCCCTGCAGCCAGAGCCCCCCACAACCGGGGGGGGGGCCCCCTGAATCCAGCCCCTCGCTTCCCTCCAGCAGCACTGGGCCCTTCGGGGCTTCCCAGCAGCCAGCCCCCGCCCCCCAGCATGGCTCCCCGCAAGGCGTGGGGGGTCGCGATCGGGGTGGGGGTCCCGTCTGCAGCGGGGTGGGGGAGGGGGGCGTTGGACTGAGCCATTTTGATTCGAAGCTGGGGCTTGCTGGGGGCATGTGGGCTGTGGGTAGCGCGGAGGTCGCCATGCTGTTCTCCCCGAGAGAAACTAGGAGGGAAGCAAACACGTTTCTGAGGATGCCAGGCGCGCCCCAATCCAAACCCTCCTGTGCCCCCCCCATGAAAACCAGGGGCAGGGCGGCTCTCCCCGTGGTTTCAGGGCGAAACCCCTTCGTTCCAGGGAGGGACATTTTTTTTTCTCTTGTGTGACACAATTCTGCCCCAGAGAGCTTCCCACACAAAAGCAGCAGCAAAGACTCGAGCTGCCCATTTAATTCTTCCCTTTTGCTGAAGCAGAGACTTCCCTGGTCCAAACACAGCCCGGGGGAGCGAAGGAATCCAAGAGCCCTAGCCCACATTTGCCCCCCACAAGCCCCTATCCTTCATGCCTTCCCCCCCAGCTTGAAACCAGTTTTGTATTTCACAAAGTGCCCTCGCAGAGGAATCAGAAAATGCAGTTGGTCTGTGTAGGCCACTGGCATTAAAAAAGAGCCATGGGCAAGAATGAGGCCCAAAGCTTTCTGCATCCCACCCTACTTAGATTTTAAAAAAGACACATTTTGTTTTTAGGGAAAGTGGAACTGCATGGAAAACAGCTAGAAATTGAACATTCAGTGCCTAAAAAGCAAAGGTAATACAATGATTTAATTCCTCTTATTTTTTTTCTCGTTGCAAAGATACAGCTAACTTACTGGGAGCTGGGGGAGAGGTTTATCCTCACAATTAGGTGAATGTGAAATTAAATTGAAGAAACAATTATCTCTGCCCAAAGCTAGGCATGAATCCGTTCTGGTGATCCACCTTTACATGTCATCTTTGTCTAAATTAATTTGGAAGTAAGTTTACACACACACACAAACAAAAAAGGATAAAAAGTAGGTGTGGGCCAAGAGGGTGAATTGCTGAGATCTTGCTAAAGATACTGTGCAGTTCACTGCTCTTTTGTGCACTCCAAAATCCTTTTTTTTTTAATTTAAAATTTTGAATATTTAAAAAGAAATTGTTTTATTTTTCTAAATGGGAAGGAGGGCTTATTTTCACATTTTGGGCCAAGGTGTAGTTTAAAGGAATTGAACTGAGGAAAATAGCCCAGTTTCTCAAAGATAATAATTACAGCACAGGGAGAAATCTTCAATTTCCTTTCTCTCGCCTTTAAACATGGAAAAAGTGTCAAGTATAATTTCTTCCAGTAGATTTTTTTTTCAGAAGCCCACAGACTTCTCCATGCTCTTGGCCTTTTGTCGTTGGTTGCTCGCACGTTGAGCTAACAGTTTATTCTGGTGACCCAGCAGATATTTTGCAACTTAGGGGAGATGCCACATTTAAAAAAAAAAAGAAGAAATGTTTTCTAGAAAGGCTGAATTTTCCCTACCCCCAGGAAGCAGGCCAGTGGTTCCCAAATCCAAATAGGCCATGCTGAATTCTAACAGAATCTGTAATATGTCTGGTCCACGTGACTAGGCAGTTACTTCAACAACAGAGCAGAAGGAAGGTGGCTCTTGAAAAAACTAAAATAATGTTTTATGACAGAAAAAAATATATCCGAAGACTCTAGTCTAGTCTGTTTTGTGAGCAAAGGGGTAGGCCTTAATTCTTGCTCTCCCCCTCCCCCCCATTTGTTGGCTTTTTAAAATTACACACCAGTGTGTTCATTGAATTCCAGAGGCTGCAGGGCTGAAAGCAAAGTGTTTAGTCAGATCCAGTAGGTATAGCTCAAACCCCAAAACCGATCTCATAATTTTAATATAAAGCATTTTAGCAGGAATCCCTCCAATTCATGCCTAGGTGATCAATATTGCTTTTTACCTACAACGTTCCAAAGACTTAGTTGTGGTGTAAATTTCAATGGAATGAAATGTTATTGGAAAGGCAATTACAGGATGAAAGGTAACATTATAAAATCGAAAAAAAAGTCTGATTTTTTTCTTAGCACTGCTAGAAAATCAATAGGTTGTGTAGAACACAGAAGACTTCAGGATATTTCTTAGTTCACTTTCTCCCAGTCCTTTTCAGACTTTATTAACAGTATCAAAGTGCAACTCTACTCAATGGGTTGCACAGAACATGGTAGATTTCAAGCTTAGTTCGCTTTCTCCTAACCCTTTTCAGACTTTATTAATAATGTCAAAGAGCAGCAATTCTTAAATGTAAACACTTCCTGACAGTGTAATTCAAACAAATTGTGGTTTAAAGTTTATAGTAAGAGGAATCAGACCTAAGGTTAGTTAGCCAATTTTAGTGAGAAACAAGAGAAATAAAATTAATTACATACAGATCCTATATGCCCTAATGTGGTGGTTTTATACACACACACATATATAAATACACACATCATTTGCTTTATTTAAAGCTACAGAAGCCATTTTTTAATGTTGACTTTCTCTTTAAAAGTGCTTAACTTCAAGTAACTTTTATTAGTACAAGATTGGGGTGTTGTTCAATTTAGATACATTCTTCTATCACTTAACTATGGTTTCATAAAGTAACTTTGTCTCAGTTTCCTAAAGTAGACTTGTATTTGTTTTGTTCTAAAAATGGTAGTAAACTTGAAAGTTGTTAAACATAATCTTTGCTAGATGGTGTACTGTATTTTTTTCTCCTTTTAAATAGAGTGATACTATGTTACAGGCTGTGTTTCTGAGTTTGTTCTTCTGGTTGTTTTGAGTTTGGATTTTCCAGTATAAGGAGGTATAGAACAGGAATTAGTTGGCTAAGTGGGATAGGCAATTACTCAATCAGATGTTTTTACTATGATTTCTAAAAATAAAATTAAATAAAACCTGACAAGGTTTAAAAAAATAAATTACATTCACTCATTCACCTTTCTTAGAATTTTAAAAATAAAAGTTGACTTATGGATTGGATATGTTTGATTAGAAACTAAACATAATAATGCTCAATAATACTGAAGGATGTTTTTTGGTAATGAATACATTTGATTAAATTTCATTCAGTGAATGCATCTTTCATGATTGTTTCCTTTCTTTAAAATGTTTTTTCTAGTCTCCCCACTTCTAATATAAATATGAATTAAAATATGCAGAATCAACTAATAGTACACAAGAGAATTGTTGGGATACATTTCGGAGGCAGAAATACAACACAAACACTAATTTATTAAGAGCAATTTTGTGAATGGGTATTACAGTGTTTCTCCAAGCAACATTTCAACTATAAAATATATTAATGCTGATGGGAAAGCATTTTAAATAAGTACTTTTAAAAGATTAGGTTAGAAAGAAAGAAAACTCTCAAATGCTAAATACACAGTGTAATTGTTTGGAGATAATATTTTGAAAATGAAACTTTTATTAAGTTTGTTGTGGTTCAAGTTTCTCTTATTGCTATTCTGTGACTTGACTGAGAAGAAGTTGGCAAAATTAAGAATGATGGTTTAAAAAAACTCTAAAAAATTGAGTGTGTGTGTTGAAATGCTTATTAAAGAAATGATCCCTTCAATAAACAAGTTTTTACCCAAGCCCCCATAAGATTAAGAAATGTTTTAGGGGAGTGTATCTGTCTGAAACTGAAAGGACTTAAGTGGATAGATTTAAAAAAAAATGAATGAATGAAGGGGGAGGGAGGGAGAGAAAGAAAGAATGAAAGAAGTGAATCCATCAAGCAAACATTCCAAATATGAGGAATGTGGAAGTGAGTAGCCCAGAGAGAATGAAACTTAGTAATTGGGGGGAAATAGTGAATATGGCTGATAACAGCCAATACACTTACAAACTGAAAGGATTTGCACAGGTTATTTTTAAGCAAAGGCAACTTGTGACGAACAGAGACAGTTAGAAAAGTTTGTGTCCCCCCCCCCCCCAAACAGAAGGAGAAAAATGATTAATTATAAGCAGATATTTAGTTGTCTGCTGCATTGCTGTGTCAAATGTTAAGAACTTTGCTGGAGGGGGATTGCATTACCTTTATTTTCCAGTTTTTGTTTCAAGTTAATACCTGTGCAGAAATACTATTTTGTACCCACATGATCCCATTATTAGTGTGTTCATAATGAAATATTTGAAAACTGTGTGTAAGCAGTGAATGGCACTATTTTCTTTTGAAGTATTAGTTGACAAAAACTGCATTTTGTTCACTTCTGATTTCTTGGTTCTACAAAAAGTTAACAGAAAATTTAGGTAGCTTTTTTAATTCAAGAAAACTTTCTTGAATACTGAGACAAATTAAATGTATAATCCACTCTTGAGGTTATTCACCTCCCTCAAATCAGAGGTTAACTTTTTAATGGCTCTGCCTTTCAAAAGAAGTTAGCAGTATTCTTGTTCAGAGCAATTTTTTTAATAGTCTGAGTTTTTATTTAAGATCTCCTCTTTGGCTATCTTACTAGGTTCTCTCTGGGCTTAGTATATTTAAAACAGTGATTATTAATACTTAGTTTACAACCTCAACAGTTGTTGTAAATGACCACTGTTGGTGATTTCCAGCCATGAAGAATGGAAATAATTTGTCAGTTCAATGTTCTTCTGAAGTAAGTTTGAAAACTTAGGTTTACAGTTTAAATCACTGGAGATGTGCACACTTTTAATATAATTGAAAATAAAAGGATAATCTTAACATTCCCCGTTATCTCTCAATCAGAACTATGACTGGCAAGTGTCTACCAGAAGTTGCATCTTAATTGCAAACTTTCTAGCTTCAGCTTTTGAACCAACCAAATAGGAGACCTGTAGATGCCCTTTGTTAGAATTTGATGGTATTTCTTACAGAAGAAGAGCAAATTGGGTTCTTAAGAGAACATCAGTAGTAGTTGCTGGGTCTTAATCAGTTTCTCCGGTGTTGATTGATTCTCCTCTTGCCTTTTAGACACACACCATTTTTAAACTATAAATATTTTTTCTCCCTAAAAAAGTCTCAGCTTTAAAAATTTAGACACACAAGAAGGCATCTATCCGCCTTCTTTCTTCCCCTCCCCCCCATGAGATAGAAATGTTAATGTTTTCCAGAGTGTGCCACCAGGACTTAGGAAAGTTCAGAAAGCAGGAGTGACTGTTGAAAAATAAGATTGAGTTAGTCCAGTGTTTGAAATTCCAGGCTGAAGAAACAGAAAGAGTCCCTTTCTGCAAAGGGATCTGACTCTAGTAGAAATGTACAGGTTTTGCTGACTTAATGAATGGAAGGTACCTTACTCAATGTCAGCGGGTAGAAGGTTTTCAGTCTGCATTATTAATGATGCCATTGATTTAAAAAAACAACCCTAAACCCAGCTTTTGTGGCAACTTGAGGGTTTCTTAGAGATTAGATGTTGCTTTTGCAAACAAGAAAGTGTTAACAAATGTTGATGAAGAAATGATGCGTATAAAACTCTTTTGTGACTACCAAGGGATTCTACAGAGTGTTTCTTTTACACTAAGGAGGGCAGACAAACTGGGATACTGAAGATGTTTAAAAGTGATCAGAAAAGCTGAAATGTCACTGCACGTGAGTTCCTAAAACCTCACAAAAAACCAAACCAAACCTACCCAGAAAGTCATTGATCAGTTCTTTTCTTATTTAGCTGGAGTGATATTTTCAAAAGGGGGTAAGTGACTTAGGAGTCCAGACTCATTTTCAAAAGTGACCTAGACATTTGGTGACCAAGACACTCAAGTCACTTTTGAAAATGAGATGGAAGCT